ACAGATATCCACCTTCTTCTGCTGACAGAGTGCTGAGATTAAAGGCTCAGCAATTTTGTCTTATCTTGAAACTTATCATATGTATTCTTTTACTCTAGGATCTTTCATTAATACTGTTTTTAGGATTAAACCTTGCTTTATATAGTTTTCAGTATTCCTGTATTTTTTGCTGAACTGCTTTATGTGGTCTTTTGAGTACTCTATGATAACCATGTTTTTGTTTTGAAGGAGTAAATTTATTAAGCATACAGAAGAATGCTTAGTACATACAGAGTAAAGAAATAAATCACAAATGGTAGATAGTTATTCTTAGGGTTTTAAAATATTTTTTTGTCTACATTTTGAAAGTTATCTTGTCAGTTGAGTTACAGCAAGTTGTTTTGATTGAGATTTTATAAACTTTATGTGTTAGTTTGGGAAGAATTGGTATACATATGCCTGATAATTCACAAAGCAGATACTATCATTAATTTGTTTCATCTTTAATTTTTGTCAGTGTAGTGCAGTTTTCTGAATAGGAGTCATGTTTTTGGTAAGATTTAGTACAAGGCATATTATTTTAAAAGTTATATTAAAAGTGCTATAATTTAAAATTTTGTATTTGTTGATGGTACATAAAATTGCAAGTTTTTTTTATGAATTCAAATAATTTATTTGTAAAGTAGTTTTGTCCTATGTGAGTATATTAGTCCGGAGTCTCAGGAAAACAGAACTAATCACACATGTGCTTGTATACATACACATTTTAAAAAAGATTTACTATGAAGAAATTGGCTTATGCAGTTGGAGAAGCTGGGAGGTCCGAGGTCTGCTTTTATTAAGTTGAAGACCCAAGAAAGTCCTAGCGTGGTTGCAGCCTGAGCACCAGGAGAACCAGTGCCGTGAGCTCCCACGTGAGTCTTAGTCTAAAGTGCAGAAGCCCAGCTCAGATGTAGTGAGGAAGAGAGAAAGGGGTTCCTTATTACTCAGAAGAGAAAAAAATGTTTTATTACTCAGTCTTTAGTAGGCTAGATTGATGCTGCCCAAAGAGGAAGGTCGATCTACTGATTTAGATGATAACTTCATCTCACTGTCTCAGCAGGACAGTCACAAATTTTTATCTGTATATTTCAGCACCCAGGAATCATCAGAAGGAATAACCAAATCATCTGCAAATTATGTTTTCTCCTAATTCTTTCTCAGCGTATGTGTGTGCATGTGTATAGCCGCTGGAGGACGACAGGGGGCGTCCTGGTCAAGCATTCTCCATCCTCTCCCCTTAGCTCAGAGCTAGGCTGGTCCAGCAAGTTCCGGCGATCCTCCTGTCTCCACTTTCTGCTTTGCTGGGGTTATAAGATTTTTCTATGTGGGTGCTTGAGATTCGAACTCAGGCCTTCATGCTTAAGCAGCAACTTCTCTAAACTGCTGAGCCACCCTCAGACCTACTTACTGATTCTTACACTTTCTTCTGTCTTCTTGCTTAAGCACCAGCTAGGACCTCTATTTAATGTGGAGTAGAAATAATAGAAATTGTCCTTACTCTTTCTTTTTTTTCCCTTTTTTTCCCCCAGTTTGGCCACCAACTCAGAATCTTGAGCTATGCCTCCTGAGTGCTGACCCCTCTTTTTTTTCCTTAAATTTTTTAAAATTGAAAATAGATTTTTAGAAATATTTATTTGTTTGTTTGTTTATATACTATCCTCCCTGCATGTATGCCTGCAGGCCAGAGAGGGCACCACATCTCATTACAGATGGTTGTGAGCCACCATGTGGTTACTGGGAACTGAACTCAGAACCTCTGGAAGAGCAGCCAGTGCTTCTAACCTCTGAGCCATCTCTCCAGCCCCCAAAATAGATTTTTACTATAACAGTATATTCTGGATTCCTCTCAGATCCTTCCCTCTCTTCCAAGTACACAACTTTTTTTTCTCTTTCATTAGAAAACAAACAGGAATTTAAAACATAAATAAGATGAAATAAAATAAGAGAAAGTTAAAACAAACAAGCATAGAAAAGAACCAAAGAAGAATCACAAGAAAGACATAGACACAGAGAAACACATGACCATTCATCCATGCAGAAATCCCATAAAAACACAAAACTGGGTACCATAACAAATGTGCAAAAGACCTGCGACTTTAGAAATAAAGTGTCTGACAAAGCATTGTGAGACAGTGACCCTCCAGAAATGTCACTGAATTTGTTTTGTGTTGGCCATCTACTGCTGTGCATGGGACCTGGCCTAAGAGTGGCTTTATACCCAGTGAGACTCTGTTGGTAAAAATTAATTTTTTTCCTTGTGAGCAGTTATCTGTTTGAGACAGCTTCTAAGTTAGGAATGGAGGCATATGTCCACTTCAGGTCTTGATTCTGGGACCACATCTGGTGCAGACCCATACAGGCTCTGTGCATACTGCCACAGCCACTGAGTTCATACGTTCATCGTTCTTGCTGTGTTTAGGAGGCCTTATTTCCTTAGTGTCCTCCATTTCTCCGGCTCTCAAAGTCTTCCTGTCTCCTCTTCTTCAGGGTTCCCTGAGCCCTTAGGGGAGGGATTTGATGAAGAAATCCCATTTAGGATCGAGTGTTTCAAGGTTTCTCATGCTCTGCATGTCTGGTTGTGGGTGTCGATATTAGTTCTCATCTACTGTAGATGTGAGTTCTCTGATGGTGACTGAGCAAGACACTGTGCTAGGAACATAGCAGAACGTCATCAGAAGTCACTTCACTGCTGTGTTCCTTTAGCAGAGCAGTAGTCCTTGACCTGCCTAGTTCCAGAATCTTAGATACCGAGCAGTGTCAAAGATGGCTCCATCTCATGGATATTGATTGCTCACTTCCACAGCTTTCGTGTCCCAGTGTATCTTGCCAGCAGGCCACCATTGTAGATTCAGTCTGAAGTTCACCTTTCTCCTTTGGTAGCATGTAGAGTACCCTCCAGTGCCAGGAACACTAGTCAGGAGGGATAAGGGCTCTAGGTAGGCACCAACTCATGTTTAATGTTGTGTGCTGGTGTCTTCATCAGTAGCATCATCTTACCTTCAGTTTGCAGGGAGCATCCAGTAGCCTTGCCTTGCTTTTCTCTCAGAGGCAAGCTTTTGCTATTTTATCATTAATTAATGTCGTAATATTTTGTTTGTGATCTAACAAAGCTTTCCTGAAGATCAGAGTACAACGTTAAGCCAGTAGTTAGCTATAGAAGCCAGGCAGTGGTGGCACACACCTTTAATCCCAGCACTCAGGAGACGGGCAGATGAATCTCTATAAATTCAAGGCCACCCTGGGCTACACAAGATTAAATCTGTCTAAAAGAGAAACAGAGCTGCGCAAAGTGACCTCAGCCTTTAATCCCAACACCAGAGAGGTGGAGACAAGAGAGATATGGCTGGGCAGAGAGGAATATAAGGCGGAAGGAGACAGGATTCAGTCTGAGGATTTGTGGAGACAGGGTCGTGCTTTTGGACTGAGGTAGAGGTAAGAGCTAGTAGCTGGCTGTCCTGCTTCTCCGATCTTCAGCATTAACCCCTATATCTGAGTCTGAATTTTTATTATTAAGACCAATTAGAATTTGTGCTGCAAACTATGATTTTACTATATAGTATTCTTATAGATGTCTTTTCACAAATAAAAATTTTCCATTAAATTAAGGAAACACTTTGAAAAGTTTTATCATGAATGCGTGCTGGATTTGTTTTCAGATGCTTTTTCTACATCTGTTGGCATGGATACAAGTTTTCTGTTAATATGTTAACCTGATGAATTATATTACTTGATTATTCCAGCATTAAACCAACTTTTGTTGCTTAGAAGAAGCAATGTTTGTGGTATTGCGTACCTGTGTGCTGTGTATGTGTGTTTGTGTGTGTGTGTGTGTGTGTGTGTGTGTGTGTGTATTTAACTGGCTGATATTTTGATTTTATGAGTTTTTGGGTGAAAATGGCATACGGCATATAATTTTTGTCTTTTGTTTTTATCTAAGCTAATCTTAAAATAGGTCTGTCAATTTTTTCTGTTTACTGAGTGAGTTTGCTTAAGATAGTTGTATTTCATCTTTAAATGCTGAACAACTTTGTCAGTGATGCCAACTATAGTGGACTGTAGTCTCAACAAATTTTAAAACCTGAACTCATAGAGATTTTGTGTTGTGTTCTTTTATGCTTCTGGATATCAAACTGAGAACCTTGACTGTACCAGGCAAGCACTCTTATCAATGAGCTAGAACCCCCAAGCCTAACAAAGTATGTTTTTGTTTTTATACACTACATGCAGTTATTGCCAAACCCAATGCAGAACATCTCTACAGCACATGTATAACCCAGGACTGATAGTACACCTCTGCAGATCCTGGATGGAGGGGGCTGAGCCACTCGAGGCTACATGGGAATATTTAGTCTAAAAAAATCCCTTATATTTATGAATTCTGGATTCTAAAGTATATTAGAAATTAGTAATTACTTTGATTATGAAAATTTATTAAAAATCTTAGTGTTCACAAAGGTAGATTTTTATAGACAGTGTATATGTCAGAAAAGGTGAAAAACAACGGCAAAGTGGCCGTCTTAAGAAATCAGCAGAGCTAAAATGCAGAATACAGATAAGGCAGAAATAGAAGAAAGTCAGGAGTTGGTCCCTGACAAGATTAGTAAAGTTAGTAGCTCTCTGAGATATTTCTCAAAAAAGAAGACACAAATATTAATGTCGGAGTGAAAGAAGGAGCTTCACCGCCAATCCCACAGACTTAGAGGGTAGGAGAGGAAAATACATTGTTTAATGCCTTGATAATTATCAGGAGTGGTCTACTCTGTGTAAGGGAAAATTTCATGCTAAACTTTGATAACCAAATTATCTCATTCTGATTTCTTTGTGGAAAGGCTTTCCAGTTACTGAACCAGTTTTCAGAAATAATTGTGAGGCTATTTCAGGTTTCTGTTATGTTCCGTGTGTTGATAGAACTGACATCCTTTTTAGTGCTCGGCATAAAAAGTGAGAGCACCGTTCAGTTTTTTCAGCAGCTGTTTGCGATGTTCAGGTGTAACTGTTACTGTGCTTCTCATATCCAGTCACACTGCATTATTAGGGTGAATTACCAGGCTCTAACTTTAGGAAAATTGTAAGAGCTCAAAGAAATTGTAACTGAGTAGTTGCAGTTAGGGGCACATGAATACTGAGCATGCCCTACTTCAGACTGTCTCTAGTAGGGTTTTTCAGAAGTATCTCTGTCCATTACTGGGACTCAGGACCTAGTTTTCACAATCTTCTAGTAGATATTTTAGGTAGATTAAAGATAGCTATGATTCCTCTAAAATATTATGTATAATATTTTTATTAGCTTTTTGGGATCCTAGTCTGTTTGGATGCACACCTTCCTAGGCCTGAATGGAGGGGGGAGGGCCTTGGACCCTGCCCTCTCTTTGGACTGGAGGGGGAGGGAGAAGGGGAGTTAGGGAGTAGGAGGGAAATGGGAGGAGGGGAGGAAGGTGGAAATTTTGAATGGTATTTATAAAGCAAAAAAAAATGATTAAGATAAAAAGAAACACAAAAAATATTTTCGGGAGTATGCTTTGTCATGTGTGTTCATTCATTTGTGTGGGGATGTTTGAGTGACTGCATGAGTATGTTTATTTTTGTGGGTGCATGTATTGGTGTGGGTGTGTCTGGGTGCTGGTGTGTGCATGTGGAGGCCAGAGGTCAGCCTCAGGCATCAATCCTCACCTTGCTTTTTGAGGCAGGATCTCTCTCTGGCCTGAAACTCACCAAGTAGACTAGGCTGATTGGCCAGCTCAAGTGACCTAGCGAGCGTCACCTAACCCGTGCTCTGATTATAGGCATGTACCATCACGCCCAGCTTTTACTCGGGTTGTGGGGATGGAACTTAGTGCCTTATATATGCAAGATAGGCACTTGATTGACAGCTGTCTTCCCAGCCTTGAACACATTTTTTTTAATAGTAGGAAGTAGAGGGTCCACTGACTTTTTATAGATTCCCAGAATTTAAAAATCTTTAAAAAACAGTTAAGAAAAAGGAACACAGACCAACAAATAGTGGTTTTTATTTAATTTTTTAAAAAAATTTATGTGTATGGGTGTTTTGGCTTCATATATCTGTGCACCACATGCTTGCAATGCCCACGGAGGTCAGATGAGGACATATGGGTCCCCTGAGTCTGGAGTTACAGGCAGTTGTGAGTGGCCATGTGGGTGCTTGGAATCTAACTGTTGTCTTCCGCTAGAGCAGCAGGTAGTCTTCATTGCTTAGCCATCTCTCAAGCTACCCTTACATTTTTGGTATTAAAAATATTTATGTTGGTATATAACCATTTTAGTAAAGTAGTAACTATATGTAGAATTCTCATTGAATTTGCTCATTTCATATTAATTTGCCAGTACCTTAACTGAGAATTTCTCTTTTCAAGGTTCAGGAACAAGTACATCCCACCCTCTCAGCTAATGAAGAGTCCCTTTATTATATTGAAGAACTGATTTTTCAGCTGCTTAATAAATTGTGCATGGCTCAACCAAGGACTGTTCAAGATGTAGAGGTAAAAATTACATCATTTCATAAAGAACCCATGAAATTAATTTCTGAATCTTTGTCATTCTAAATTTCTATGGAAACTAAAACCACTGAAATTACATGTGATATATATGGCCAGTTCATTTTCAAGAAATATAAAGGAAAGTTGCTAGGTGGAGGGTGGCACACACCTTTAATCCCAGCACTTGGGAGGCCGAAGCAGGCAGATCTTTGTGAGGTCAAAGCCAGCATAGTCTACAAAGTGAGTTCCAGGCTAGTCAGGGCTACACAAAGAAACCCTGTCCTGAGCCCCTGTCCCCCCACAAAAAAAAAAAAATTGAAAGAAAAAATGTGTGGATAAATGGAGGGGAAAACCTTGCAACTCGTCTCCTATGACAGACAAAAATTAACTAAAGGAATCATAACCTCACATATAAAAATAAATTATGAAGTTTGTAGGAGAAAATGCTGAAAAATAGTATCATAATTTGGAATTAAGCAAATACTGTTTTAGCAATGACTGAAAACACAGTGACTATTGAAGATTAAAGTTAAGAAAATAAAAAGGTATTAACCAGGTTGCCTATAATCTCAACACTCACAGGCCGGGAGCAAAGAATCTCTAATTTGAGATTAGCCTGAACTTTACATACAAAATGTTACAAGTCACAGATGAGGGGGAAAAGACACCTATCTTTAATCCCAGTACTCAGGAGGCAGAGGTAGGTAGGGAGATCTCTGTGAGTTACAGGACAGCCAGGGCTACAAAGAGAAACTCTGTCTCAAAAACCAAACCAAACCAACAACAAAAAAACCTATATTCCTCCCCAGATTTGCAAAATTCTTGAATAGAAACTCAAAAAGAAAAATATTCTAATTGTCTATAAGCACTTGAAAAATTACTAAAGCTCAGAGGCCACCTGAAAAATAGAAACTCAAATCATAATGAACTTTAACACCACCAAAAGTCAAAAACTAAAAAAGGGGCTGGTTATACTATATACAGGCAAATATGAAAACTGCCTAGAATTTTATGTTACAAGTGGGAGTATAAATGCTATAACAACTGTGCAAAATTGTTTGGCAGTTTCTACCAAAGTTACTTCTATGTCTAACATATGGCCCAGTAGCTGTACTCTTAGCTATGGAGAATAAAAGTACATCTTCATAGATGATACACACACAGCCAAGCAGTTAAATTTAAACAAGCAGTAATAGCTAACAGTTACAAAGAGCTCAACTTTCTATCCATAATAAAGTGTTTTCTTTGGCTACTTTTTCATAACTATCATCAGAATACCTGTGAGAGGATAGCTTAAAGGACGAAGGATTTATTTCAACTCACAGTTTCAGAGGATTCAGTACATAACTGCTTGAGTCCTTGTGTTGAAGCGGATCACGGTAGTGGGAATGGAGCAGGGAAAAAGAAGTCTTCCCTCCTCACAGTAGACAGAGTATGGGGTGACTGGGGAACCAGGAATAAGCTTCGAAAGCATACGTCCAGTTTTTGACATACTTTCTCCAGCTTGTCCTACTTTCTAGAGCTCACGGATCCTCCCAAAATAACAACAAGCATTTCAGCATATTTCAAGTAAAGCATATTTCACATAAAGCATATTTCACGTTCAAACCATAACTTTCCCCCTGGCCCAAAGGCTCATTGCTGTCTCATAATACAAATGCTTCTTGTCTGTCTCCAGAGGTTCCAAGATTCTTAACAGTTCTAACGTTGTTCGTAAGCGTAAATTCAGAGTTTCCAGTAAGATCAAAGCAATCTTAGTTGTGACCCTCAGTAAAATCAAAAAGAAAATTACTCCCAATATGCAGTGGCACAGGGTGAACAGGCTCATTCCACAGGGGGAAGAGGGGCGCAGGAAAGCATGATAGGACCAAAGTGAGACTGAATCACGGCAGTAGCTGTGGTAAGAACATGTCCAGCCTCCAGAGTGTGTTAAGATGTGAGGTCCAACAGGCTTGGGGCAACTCCACTCCTGGGGCCTTGTCATTTATAGCTGATGAGGCTTTTTCTCTGAAGCCTACCTCAGTCTATATTCCACATACCTGGTATCTTCAACATCCTGGTATCTCCATTGCAATTTATACTTTCTTACAGCTTCATACATAGCCTTCCCAGGAGCCTCCTGCAGGAATCCTAACCCTGTCACGCATTGCTTGCTTTGAAATCTGGGTGGAACCCTATATGACCCTCATCACTCTTGTATTCTGCATGCCTGCAAAACCAGTACTGTGTGTACAAGACCATGGTCTGCCACAGGCTTGAGCTATAGCCAGGTTTTGTAAGACCACAGCAGCAGCAGCCTCTGGGTGTCTGAGCAACTGAAACTGAAAAGCACTTTCCCAGATCACTGTGTAGGGCACCTGGAGGCTCAAAGCCAAGTCTTTTAAATGAGTGAAAACCTCTCTACTCTGATCCTGCAGTGGGGAGCTTCTGACCAGTTCCCTACATGCCTTTATGTCATCTTTCCCATACTCTGGTGCAAAGAACTTGGTTTCTTTTCTTTCTTTCTTTTTTAATTTATTAGATTTTAAAAAAAATACCAATCCAAGTTCCCACTCCCTCCCCTCCTCTCATTCCCTCTACACACCCTCCCACCCCACCCCCATCCAGTTCTCAGAGAGAGTAAGGCACATTGCCTTGTAGAAGGTCCAAGGCCCTCCCTACTATATCTAGGCTGAGCAAGGTATACATCCAAAGAGAATGGGTTCCAAAAAGCCAGTACATGCAGTCGGGATAAATCCTGGTGTCACTGCTAGTGGCCCTTCAGTCTGCCACAGCCATGCAACTGTCAACCCTATTCAGAGGAACTAGTTTGGTCCTATGCTTATTCCTTCCCAGTCTGACTAGAGTTGGTGAGCTCCCGTTAGCTCAGGCAAACTGTTTCAGTGGGTGTCCCCATTATGGGGTCATGGTCTTGACCTTCTTGCTCATATTCTCACTCCTTCCACTCTTCAACTGGACTTTGGAAGCTCCGTGCAGTGCTCAGATGTGGGTCTCTGCCTCTGCCTCCACCAGTTGCTGAATGAAGGCTCTATGGTGATATTTAAGATAATCATCAGTCTGACTACAGGGCAAGTCAAGATCAGGCCCCCTCTCCTCTATTGCCCAGAGTCCTAGGTGGGGTCATCCTTTTAGATTCCTGGGAATTTCTCTAGAGACTGGTTTCTGCTAACCCTGTAATGGCTCCCTCAATCAAGATATCTCTCTCCTTCCTCTCATCTCTGTCCTTCCTCCATCTCAACCATCCCATTCCCTCAAGTTCTCCTCTCCCCTCCCTCTCTCCCCTCCGCTTCTCCTCCTCCCCTCCTCTTCTCCTCCTCCTCTCCCCTCTCTCCCCACTCCCAGGCAATCTGTTCACATGTTACACAGGCAGACTGTTCACATGTTACACATACAGTCTATTGAACTATTCTGTCCACTTTCTTGCATGATAAACTTAAAAAATTTATGTGACAAAATTATATGATAGAATTTTGTCGCAGGGTCTCATTGTGTAGCTTGGACTGGCCTCAACTCACTGTGTAGCCCAGGCTGGCTTTGAACTCATGGTCTTCCTGTCTCTGCCTTCTCAGGGCTGGGATTATAGGTTTTCCACCATGGCTAGGGACTTTTTTAAAAACAAAAAGCGTTTTCTTCTTTCCTGGGATCAGAACTTACTATTCCCTGCTGCTTTCTGTATTAAAGAGACTGATTGAGTTTTATATGAGTTTCCTATTTATAAACACTTCTGCTGATTCTGAATGCCCTCTGTGATCTGAACAGGAACGAGTCCAAAAGACTTTTCCACACCCTATTGATAAATGGGCAATTGCTGATGCCCAGTCTGCCATTGAGAAACGTAAACGAAGAAATCCTCTTTTACTACCTGTGGACAAAATCCATCCTTCCTTGAAGGTAATAAAAGATTAGACACTGGGGGAATTCTTCATAATGAATAATATTTTAAATTATATGTATATAAAAGACATATATAATATATATTAACAATCTGTTTGTATATGTATTATAGACATTATAGTATGTGTATAAAATAAAAACAGGGAGTAGGGGTGTATATAAGTAATATGCTTTGTGTGAGTGATACCCTCAGTTGAATCTCTAGCATGCTGTCCACCCACCCCCAAAGAGAAGAATGAAATAAAAATAAATGTACCCTAATGAAATCCATGGCTCATATTCTCCCCCTCCACACACACAGAGTTGATAGTAATAATGCATTGTGGCATTTTGTGGTGTCTTCAGTGACACTACTACCTCCTGTTAATTCCAGTGTAGCTGGCCTTGATTCTCAAAGTGTAATAGCAAAGGGCTCTGAGTGTTTTTAAATCATCCTGTATACTTTGGAAAAGGACACTGGAGAATAATCTATAGAATATGTTTGGTGTATGTAGATTTGAAGACCTTTTAGTAGAAGTTTCAATAGCCCTCATTCTAGTCTGTTCTCTTACTGAGAAACACCACAAACAGAAACAACTCGAGGAGAAGACTTTATTTTAGCTCATGCTTTGTGGTCCATCGCTAAGGAAGCCAAGGCAGAAGCTTCAAACAGAAGCTATGGCAGAATGCCGCTCACTGGCCTGTTCTCCACAGCTTCCTCAACCTGGGTTTTTGTTTTGTTTTGTTTTGTTTTACTATAAACCAGGACCATCTGCCCAGGAGTAGCACTACCCACATAGGGCCAGGCCCTTCTCTGTCACTCAATAATCAAGAAAATGCTCCATAGAGCTGCCTGCAGGTAGAGGCGACACCCTCCCTCCCTGACATAGACACTCTCCTGAAAGGGGCTACAGTGATTAAAATATAATGTTTTTGATTGTTTTAAAGCAGGGTCCTTGCAGAAAGATGGTATTTGTCTCAGGGGTTTCAATCAGCTGTTAAGAAGCTGTCAGTAAAATTTAGCTGAACATTTTTTTATTTTTTTGTCTTTTGTTTGTATAGTATGTTTTCTGATTTTGTATTTTTATGGCTTTTTTGTGCATTTCATGCCTTTAAAGTTCTGTTTTTTAAATTTGTTTTGTTTTATTTTACTGTTTGTTTACTAACCAGAAGGAGAAAGGAGACTTGGTATTAGATGGGTGGGAGGGACCTGGGAGGACATGAGGGATAGGAAACAATGATCAGAATATATTCTATGAAATAAAATAAATATAGGTCAAGAGTTCCTATTAGAATCACCTGCTATTGTTTGATGAAATAAAAGACTTGTTAGATTATATCTATTTTTATAAGATCTATAATACTAGGATCAACTGTTAATTTTATATTCTATAGCGGCATTTATCAACCTTCCTAATACTGTGAGCTTTAATACAGTTCGTCATGTTGGTGACCCCAACCATAAAATTATTTTGTTGTTACTGCATAACTGTAATTTTGCTAGTTATGAATCGTAATGTAAAAGTCTGTGTTTTCCAATGATCTTGGGAGACCCCAAAGGGGTCACAACTGTAGATTGAGAACAACTGTTTTATGGTACCCAGATATTGAGATATTCTGCTTTTAAAATTTTGTTTATGTACCAGGTGGTGGTGGTACAGGCTTTATCCCAGCACTCAGGAGGCAGAGGTAGGCAGATCTCTGAGTTTGAGACCAGCCTGGTCTACAGCGTGAGTTCCAGGACAGCCAGGGCAACACCAGGAAACCCTGTCTCAAAAAATGGTTTATGAGCAAAAGTGGTAGATAGGATTTTTTTTCTTTCATTGCTAAAGCTTAAATTCAGGGCCTTGCCCTTCACTAACAAGCCACACAGCTCTGAAGTAGGAGTGTTAAGTGTTTAACTGATACTTGGCAGGGATTTTGTTTTGGAATTGAATTATTTTTTTTTAACAGGAAGTTTTGGGGTACAAAGTGGACTACCATGTGTCCCTCTACATTGTGGCTGTATTGGAGTATATCTCAGCAGATATTTTGAAATTGGCTGGTAATTATGTTTTTAATATCCGGCATTATGAAATATCTCAGCAAGACATTAAAGTGTCAATGTGTGCAGATAAGGTAAGTGTTAAAGAGTATTAAAGCTTAAATTGAATACTAATAACTAAATGATGTTTGCTTTACTCTTGTTAAATTAATTTTAATGAAGTTTCCTTTTTAAGTTATGAAGACATGTAAAATTCACACAGTTAAGCTGACACATCAGATATAAGCTGATAGAGGAACACTTCTTCCTGCAGGACAAATAGTCAGTCTCTTTCACAGTAGGGGGTCAGAGCCAGCGTTGCCGTGCTGTACCTTCCATATCCGTACCTTTATTCATTTCATTTATTCAGAATGCTTTTTTAAGAACAGAGATTGTTTTTTACATTTATTTGTCTCTCCCTGTGAGTATGTGTATGTGCATGCACATGTGCATACATGTGGAGATTGGTGGACAACTTTCAGGAATCCTGTCTCTCCTTCTACCATGGGGCTTGGGGATTGAACTCAGGTTTTTGGGTACATGCCTTTACCTGCTCAGTCATTACTAGCCTTGCTTGTTTTGGAGACGGAATTTCACTGAGTAGCCTGGGCTGGCCTTGAACTCACTCTATAGCTCAGATCAGCCTTAAATTCATGATCCTCCTGATTCTACTCCGAAGTACTGGGGTTATCAGCATTTGTAACCACATTGGGGTTCATTTTTTTTTGTTTGTGATGGTATTAAGTTTTTGTTTTTTGTTTTAAAACCATAGTCTCAGAAAAATATGGAGCTCAATAAAAACCAATAAAAAGAAAAACCATCGTCTTACTATGTAACTCCAGCTGGCCTAAACTTGCTTTGTAGACCAGGCTGACCTTGAATTCCTAGATGTTTCCTTGCCTCTGCCTCCCAAGTATTGGGATTAAAGGGGTGTGCCTTCATGCCAGGTAATATATTAATACATTTTATTGTTCCTGATACTGGAAAACAGAAAATACTAGCTTTGCAAAGCATGGTATTTCCAGAGTTCAGCATCTGTGGCAGGGGGGTGAGTTCTCTTCTTCCGTCAAGAATCTTTACTTACAGAGAGGGACAAAATCCACCCTAATCAGTTGAAGAAAATTAGTTTTAGATCATGTTTATTTTAGTCAATTTTTTCTTTCATTGCTTTATAATAACAGGGTTTTGCTATGTAACTCAGGCTGGCCTTGAACTTGCCTAGAATGGTGATCTTCCTGCCACTTGTGTGCTGGAATTCTAGGCATGAGCCACCACACACTCCTGAGATTTGAATTTTTAAAAAGAGAGTAGACAGAGTTGTTTCTAGTATATTAAATGTAAGTAATTGTGAAGAACATGGTTTGGTATCTCAGGGCAGATACTGAGAAGAAACAACTTATGAGAAGTTACTGCCCTCTGGTCATTCCTTTCTGGTTCACAGATCCTTTCTTCCTGTTCATAGGCACCGCCTGAGGGAAAAGTCGGTCTCCGTTTCCTCCTTTCCTCCGCTTTCTCTTTTTTCTTTCCTTATATTTCTCACCTCTAATTCAACATTGCCTGGAGGACCTGCCCTGGACACAGAATGTACGGCACTGAATAAGATAGCATTCCTGTATGAAAAGGAACATGTGTTAGTGTGAAATGAAAACATTATAAACAAATAACTGAATACAATGTGATTTGAATATTATACCAGTAAATCAGTGTGTGGTGGAGAAAGCAATCAACTGTGTCAGAGTCTAGGAGGACTTAACAGAGACGATTGCTGAAGCTGGTGCCTCTGGCCTAGTGCGTGCAGTGGTCGTCAGCCTTGACTGACAGTAGAATCACAATAAAGTTTTAGCAAATATTGATGTTTGCAAAAGTTTAACTGGCCTATTTTTTGACAATACTACTTTTTTAAGTTGTAGTTGAGATCTGTTATTCTGTACTCTAATTTAAAAACTGATTTTTCACTTGCATTTCATTTTGTCATTTTTATTTTGATTTCCAAAATCATGATTAGATACTTTTTCTTTCTCTGAAAGTGACTTAAAGCAGATAGAAAAACTGGGGGTACAGTGGCTGGGGGTACAGTGCTCCATTGCATCCGAGTCATCTGAGAGTCAGCCACCCGCATAGGATGTTCTGCCAAGAACATTTCCCCACAGTACAGTAGGAAGATGTCAGAATCCCGCACCGGTATTGGCACGTCGACACAGCGTGCTGTCGTTCCCATGGGGTCCTTACATCAAGATGATTTAGTCCACAGCCGTACGTTATTTTTGTAGTTGTCTTTGCTCTTTTCTCTTGACCTTTATGACCGTGACTCTGGAGAACTACGAGTCAGTTGTCACTCACTGGTCCTTAGTTTAGAACTTTTGGCTGGAATCCGGTTATAGTCTTCAGTAGGAGCTCACATAAGCACACCATGTTCTCACTGTGACACACGACAGTTTCCGCGCGATTCATTAGTGATGCTGTTGTCCACCGATCTTCTCTTTCAGTCACTGTTTTTCGTTTTGTAACTAACAAATGTTTTGTGAAATATTTTGAGACTCTTATTCCTTATCACTCTTTAAGCTTGTTGGTTCATTTAAATGTGAATTTACAGGTTCTTACTTTACTCAGTGGGTCATAATTAGTTACTTAGATGTTCAAATTATCCAACATTTGATCAGGTCAGGTGGAAGCACCAACTTGACTTTATTTCTGTCATTTTTTGGAACAATTTCTTTTTGTTTATTTTTATGTATAAATTGACAAGTTGTGGGTTTACACTGCAAGAGTTACCCTGTGGCTGTGCTTTATAAATACAGTGTGGAATAAACATATATTATCTATCAGCTCAAATATGTATTTGTGGTGAGAACTTTGAAATTTATTCTCTTAGCAACTTCAAAATCTACAGTAATTGTTATTTAATGTATTCTTCATGCCTGCATTAGATACAATCTTTTTCTTCTGTCTAATTGAGACTTTCTACCTTCTGGCCATTATCTCTCATTTCTCTCCCCAGGTTCTGAACCAACATTCTCTCTTTGCTTCTGTAAACATGATTATTTTAAATATGTGATTGTTGTCTTTCAGGAGTACTCTGTTTCAGCAGTAGGCATTCTAGGTTCATCTTGTTCGATATGGCTCTTTCCAAGCTTAGAATTAGTTGTTTCTCCAAACAGCAGTAGTAACAACAGCCAAAACTTTAGGTTCTTTGTAGTAGAGAATGATATTTATAAACCCAAGATGTGGCTAGAGGAGCTCCTTGCTGTTGGAGGCACAACGTCTCTCTCATGGCGCCGCCACCACCACCATCTCCGTTTCTCAGTCTGTAATCTAGTCGTTAAGATTTCATTTTAGTCTTCTCTTTTCATATTTGTCATTGAAGAATCTGGCTGTTTTTCTTAATGTATCTTCCCATGTGTTAGCAGTCCCTCCTCTCCCTCTACTCTGGTCGGTCATGTTCTCCAACAGCAGGCTGTTGCCTTCCCCACCCACCCGCCTTGTTCCTTTTTTTTTTTTCCTTAAGATTTATAAACTAATTGTACTTATGTGTTCGTGTGAGTTTATGTGCACCAAGTGCATGTAATGTCCACAGAGGCCAGGTGGCATTGGATCCTCTGGAACTAGAGTTACAGCCAGGTGTGAACTCCCTGATGTGAGTGCTGGGAACTCAACCCAGGTCCTCAACAAGAACAGTAAGGCCACCCCCACCCCTTCTTTGAGTGCTCTGGGCTCAGCATCCCGAACTGAATCACCCAAAGCTTTTCACCCTCCAGCTTGTAGGGATTCCTGTTGGAGGAGACCATTTACCAGGGTGGTAACATATGGGGATTAGAAGATTAAGTAAAGAGAACAAAGACGGAAGAGAAAATAATACAAGAAAACATAGCATAGCATCCGGAGGGAGTTCCAGTGAATACTGAAGTTGCCTGCATTTAATTTACATTTGCTTAAATACCCCAATCCCAAAAGGTAGGAATAAGATAAAAAACTGCATTAACATGATACAAGGAAATTAATAGACCAGTGAAGGATTGCAGGGCACATTCTGTTAAACATTCTGTTGCCAAAACAAGACAAGTAGCTCTCACACCCTAGACTAAAACATTCTGTAGGCAAACCTCTCCCTGGGTTGAATCCATAGCTATCTCCCTATGGGAATAGGAACCTAATTGGATCCTTTGACTTTTGTTTGAGGTAGAAACAGATCTACTTCTTGATACCTGAAATACCAGCTCTGGATATTAGCCACACCTGTTATTTGAACTGTTGACAATAACTTTGAAGGAACAGAAGTTCATCCCAAGTCTCTGACCTTTAGTCAAGGTGGAATGGACCCACAACTGTGGATCCTGTCAGATTCCTACCTTATTGTCTTGTGCGTTCTCTCAGTGACTTTGCTGTGGGACAGTGATCTTGTACTCTGTAAAGATGTATCACTCATATTAGTTTAAAAAAATACTGATTGGCCAGTACCCAGGCCGGAAGTATAAGTAGGCCAAACCAGACAGAGAATTCTGGGAAGAGGAAAGGCAGAAAGTCTGTCACCATCCAGTCCAGGAAGTAAGGTGAGAATGCCTTACTGAGAAAAAGTACCAAGCCATATGATTAAACATAGATAAGAATTATGGGTTAATTTAAGTTGTTATAATAATAATAATAATAACCTTGAGCTAATAGGCCAAACAGTTCATAATTAATATAAAGTTCTGTGTTTCTTTGGGACTGAACATCTGTGGGACCAGAAACTTCTGTCAACAGACCTTAGAAACACTATGCAAGATACTGTGACACTTAACCCGAGTCTTCCCTCCAGCTCCTGTACTGACTTTTAAAATAAAGACAGTTATCTAGAGTTGGTCTACAATGCGGACTGTAGTGGAGCGGCTGTTTCGTTCTGTGTATGCTCGCACAGTTCAAGTGTCCCTGTCCCCTGTTCTTTCCTGAGTTTGCAGGCTGAGCCCCTGAGGACGTCTGTAAATGAGGCGCTCTTCTGCTTTTGATTTCTTCAGCTCATACTATAGAGTTCAAAAATTATAAGCTTAATTCAAATTTAACTGCAGAAATTTCATATTGGTTTTGAAGTTATCACCCATCAAGATAAATTAAAAACCTA